ATATTTGAATTTTCTAGTTTAATTTAGCATGATGTACCCAGTGGGAACCGAAATAAAATACTCAACGGTCTCACAAATTTTTTTAAATAAGATAAAAAATTCGTTATATATTAAGGGGAAAAAGCATATAAATATACAATTTTTGGATGATGTATATTTTCAAATTAATTAACATCCCCAATACTGTTTTTATTTGCAAATTACTTTATGAAACCATTGGGATTGAAGATCTGGAATATTACAGAATACCAAATTCCAGTGACATATTCTTTCCTTTTTAAAAAACTTAAGGATATGTTAAAATATTACGAATTATTAAATGGAAAATTTTATATTTTAAACGATGATGACTTTATCCAACTGATATGTATTTTTGTTCAATTATAAAACAATGTGTCTTATTATGAAACATAATAAATATTAATTAAAATTTGATTATGGATGATAAATTAAAAGCTATGACAGATCTTCCATACAAATTTCCCAAACTACATGGGGAAATAAATATGACCGAGTACTCAATTACTTGCGAACAGCACATCATTAATAATTTAACAGATGATGTGTACGATAAAATTAGATCTTTATGCACGGACATTGATTTTTTAAATTTTAATAAAGTTATCATTAAACTTATATACTTAGTTCCGAATCAAAACATTAAAGACTGTATTTTTTAAGCGCAACCCAGGAAATTGACGAATCCATTTTAAATTGGTCTCTAAGGTTGTCTAAACTTAATAAACTATGTGACTATCATAATGATGACCGCATAAAAAAAAACTTAGGGTATCTAGCTTGAATGATAACATTAAACGTAAATTAAACAAAGATGTTAATATAACTTTAGATGAAATGCTATTATTAGGTAGAAAATTTGATAGTATTAATAATAAACCAGTATTGTAAATTATGTAGAGAATAATAAAGAGTTTAATAAGAATACAATAGAAACTCTGTTGACAACAAATATAAGATTTGAGAGAGATCCTCATATAATACGTTTGATAACACTTTTTCTAGATATAATTGTAGGAATGGAATAATAATAATTATAATAGACTTAATGACAATTTTAAACAAAATTATGATAACCGATACAATGACAATTATGATAGAAATTACAATATAGCAATATGTCAATAATAGTAATTTTAGAAACAATAACAATTACAACCTTCCTTATGATAACAACTCAAATAACTAGGTAGACACAACACATGACGTGATAATAATTAGAGAAAACAGATTCAATACGATAATCAAAATCGTTACAACAATAACAACTACCGACACTATGATAACAACTCAAATAACTCCGGTAAAATAACTGGCATGATAACAACCAGAGAAAACAAATACAATACAATGACCAAAATCGATACAAAAATAATAATTGCTACATGAATATTGAAGAAATTGTTGAAGACAAAGTTGACACTGCAGACAACAATGATAATGATCTTAACGTCAACAACTTAACTGAGAACAAACATAATGATAATGACAGTGCTTTTATTAGTACTCTAAAATTAAATGATGTTACTACCACAATGCGATACAGGATCAAAATTTATTATCATACCTCATGATATAGCTAAGAAAATTGGCATAACAGATATTAAAAAATTCAAGCTGCAACTTACAGCCTAAGACGGAAACTTAATCAAGATCATTGGGACAACTCAAATCAAAGTAAGTTATGAAGGTATCACTAAAGATTTACAAGCAGTGGTTGTGATTGTGAATCAAGAAAAAAAAATGCATTATTAGGACGTTCAAATGCTTTCAAAAATATTTTGAACAAATTTATAGAAAATATTGACACCAATTACGAAGATGATATTAAAAAAACTGATTAAAAATTGTGAATCCAAAATGACCAAAAGACCAATTAACGAAGCAAATGTCAAACTATACTTAAGAAGAGATTCCCACCCAAAATTATATTACCAAGACGTATACCCTATGCAAAGATTGATCTTGTGGGCAAAGAACTTAATAGATGGATACAAGAAAAAATCATCGAGCAGGTTAAAGATGTTAGATGGGCAAGTGCTATAACCGCCATCGGATGATGTGAGCACTAGGCTTTGCGCTGATTTCAAATATATCCAGCTCTAGAAGATTTTAAATATTCATTTCCATGAATAAATGATTTAATAGCTAAACTTTGGGAGAAAAGAAATTTACTAATATCGATTTTAAAAAAGCGTTTCTACAGATTATCATTGATAAAAGTTGCAGAAATCTTATGACAATATCTACACACAAGGTATAATACCAATTTACTAGACTTCCTTTTGGGCTAAAGACCTCATCTGCAATCTTTCAAAAAATTATGGATCAGATGTTTGGTGATATGAAAGATATCGTATTTACATTGATGATTTACTTATAACTGGAAATAACGATGAAGCTCATTTAAACAACATCAAAATAGTGTTTGAAAGAATATTATCATATAGGTTAGTACCTAACTTCACCAAAAGCTTATTTTTAAAAACGAGAGGTTCCTGGGTCATAATATTGACGCCAAGGGGATTCATGCTAACCATTACAAAATTGAAGCTAATAAATATACCAGAACCAAAATCAGCTGCTTAATTATCAACATTTCTGGGTATTGGTTATTTAGAAAATTTTTAAACAACTTTGCAGAAACTGCTGATCCTTTATACAAAATTGTCAACAAAGGAAAAATTGAACTTAAAACACTCTAGATTTAACGATTTAAAGATGTTCATTAGTCTTTCTCCAGCTTTGACTTATTTTAATCCTGAATTACCTATCGGAATTGCAACTGATGCATCTAAATGAGGTTTCGGAGCTGTATTATTTCATACTGGAAAATACGGCAAAGAAAAATCAATGGCTTTTGCGTCGAGAACCTTATTAAAATCCGAAATGAATTACACTAATATTGAGCGTGAGGCTCTCGCTACTATGTTTGCTATAAAGAGATTCCAGGAATACTTAATCGGGACTAAATTTACAATAATTACTGACCATAAACCTCTAGTCCATATTTTTACCAAAGGACTTAACGGACAACAGTACTATGTCCTTAAGATTTCAAAAATGGAATATGAGATTAGGAGGTTATGATATCAACATAAAGTATAAACCGAAAAATACAACGTTGTTCCTGATTGTCCCTCAAGATTACCACAAGAAATTAAGGATGAAGTTGTTAAAAATATCACAATTACAAATGACTTTATACCTATTAACTATAATAAAATACCCCATGAAATTTACAAAGATATTGAAATAACACAAGCCATCAATGATATTAAGAATAATGAGCCTATAAAAAATAAGATTTATAAAAATATTGAATTGGAATTAAGTATAATTAAAGATTGTCTTTACAAAAACAACAAAATTATAATTCCGCCTAGTATGAGATAAAAAGTACTGCAGGCATTATATGAAGGTCATTTAAGAGCAGGAAGAATCAAATACTTAGCCAAAGATCATATGTGGTGGTCTGGTATGAATAATGACAGAGATGGAAGTAAAAAGTTGTGACGAATGTAATATATATCATGACAATCCTAAAAAAATACAAAAACCATGGGTTTCGGCAACTAAACCATCTGAAAGGATATACAAAGATTATGAGGGTCCGTTTTTCACAAAAAATTGGTTGATATTAGTCAATGCATATAGTAAATGAAATTATTGATCCTGTCAAAAATATTACAACCGAAATTACATTAAAAGAATTTTTTTAAAGCCATTTAGCTATTCGGAATACCTGAAAACATAGTTACTGATAATGGTACTAACTTCACAAGTAATGATTTTGAGAAATTTTGCAATGATTATGGTATTAAACATGTACTTACGTCTGCATATGCATACCACCAGAATAATGGCCAGGTGGAACGTATGGTGAAAAAGTTTAAGACGATGAAAAGAAATATAAAGATTGACTTAGATATTTCACTTGACAAATTTTTATTCAATTATAGAAACACATGAAATGATACAACAGGAGTTACTTCTTCCAAAAGAATGTTTAATCGCGACATTAGAATTAAATGGGACTTATTAAAACCGTTGGAGGAAAAAGAGGATGGAGTTAACATAACATTATTACGTAATAGAACCTTTAATGTGGGAGATTTTGGTTGTTCAAGGTGATGACAAATGATAGAAAGGCATGGTGGCACACAAAGAAAGTGACATGATGTTCCAAGTTAAGGCAGATAAAGGCATATTAAGGAGACATTTAGACCAACTAAATCTAAAAATTCATTTACGTATTAAACAAAAACCTGTTTATTTAAAAGATTATGTAACTTAATATATAAAAAAATATTGAATTATGATTTAAAAACACGAGAAATAAATAAACGTTGAAAACATGATATAATCTTATTGATTTATCATTCCAATATTCGAATATTAAAATTGATTCATATTCCATTATTATTCCAAATTCCATATATTATCCAAATAATTCATTTATTCTAATATCCAATGATCAATTATTATTCCTAATTATTCATGACTTATTGATGATGATAACAATTTTAAAAATTGATAATAATAACGACGGAGTACCACAACCAAGCTTATATAAATGAAACAACGATTTGAATAAACCAACGTACAAACTCAAAAACAATTTAAACAAACCAACGTACAAACTCCAAAAACGATTTGGACAAACCAACGTGTGAAATCGATTGCGATATAGACAAGCTAAAGATAACAAATGTGACTTATGCAACAACGTGAATAGCCAAAATGATGAACCATTTGGTCAACAAGCTCTCAATGACAGCTCACAAGAAATTATAGGTAAGCTTATCAGAAGAGGGAGAATGTTGAATAGTTAAATTTAATATTGCATTTTATTTTTGTAAAAAACTTATTTTATATTCAGATTAATTTGTTCTATTTTTATTTTTGTAACTATTTTTATATTTAATATTTAAATAGTAAAGATTTTTATGTATAAATACCAGCGATATTTCTTATAATAACATATAATTTTTAGAAATAACTTAAATAAAATTTTTTGATGTTTGTTTTCTAGTTTAATTTAGCAAAAAAATATTTTTCGATTTTTTTAAAATTCCCCATTACCATTACACCTATGCAGAGTGGGATCTTTGCCACAGGTTCACCAACTAATGCCAGTGTTCTATCTGATAAATGTGGAGATTTGTATAGGGATCAATGCAAGGTATGTAGGATACGAGCCCTTTTAGTATAAAAATATGTTAGGTAGTAGAATGTTGATAAAGACATTATTACACAAATGTTCGTCTAATATGACCTACTTTAATAACTTCATTTTCCGAACAATTACAATCCACTGAAGTTCAGATGCCTAATTTAGACAGTAACGCGAATATTAAAATACTAAACATAAATACTTTTTGAATTTCGTATATATTACGATTTATGACAAATACGGTTCCATGTCAATTCAGAAACTTTTATCGCGAAACACTTTTTCGCGAATGTCGTTTATCGCGAATGAATTTTATAGCGAAACTTTTATCGAGAATCCACACTAGCGAATATTTTTTCGCGAAAACAATATAGCGAATACATTAGAGCGAAATTTTTATAGCGAAATCAATATCGCGAAACATAAATCGCGAAGACAATATAGCGAAAACTACTTCGCGAAATATAACGCGGCCTATTATTATTTTTTTATTTTTATTAAAATAATTTATTTTATTTATATTTAATGTTAATATTTAATTTATCAACAAATAAACATATTATATGATATATATTTTTTATTTATATTATATATGGATTTCTTTTTTTTAATAAAAAAAATGATATGCTACTTAGTGATCTGCATCGGGCTTAATTTTTCAAGCCCGTCCCGGCCCGAAATTTTTTTTAAAAAGTTTTGCCGGCCCGGCCCGAACCCGAATTTTTTTTAAAAAGTTTTGCCGGCCCGGCCCGAACCCGAATTTTTTTAAAAAATTTACCGACCCAGCCCGGGCCAAATTTTTTTAAATATAGAAATTAATCTTTATAATTACTCAAAATAAAAGACATATGTTATATGCTGAAGTTTTATTAAATATGTTATCAATACTTATTTTGGCCCATTTATACGTCAAAAAAAGTCTAAAAATAATGATTATGATAATTATCACTTATCTAGGGTACATCTTCACTGAAGTTTTATTTAAACATGCTAGCAATATTTATTCTAACCCATTTTGAGTCAAAAAAATTCAAAAATAACGATTATGACAATTGTCACTTTTTAATGGTACATCTTCATGAAATTTTAATTTAGCATGTTTACAATCTATACTTTTACTCATTTACAACAAAAGAATTCAAAATAAACAACGATTATGACAATTGTAACTTATCTATGATACATCTTCACTGAAATTTTATTTAAACATGTTAGCAATCTATATTTTTACCCATTTACGTTAAAAAAATTTACACTTATCTAGGGTACATCTTCACTGAAGTTTTATTTAAACATACTAGCAATACTTATTTTAACGCATTTTGGTCAAAAAAATTCAAAAAACTTTAAAAATAACGATTATATTGTCACTTTTCAATGGTAGATCTTCGTGGAATTTTAATTTAGGATGTTTACAATCTATATTTTTTACATATTTGCAACAAAAAAATTTAAAAAACTTTATAAACAAAGATTATGACAATTGTCACTTTTCAATGGTAGATGTTCATGAAATTTTAATTAAGCATGTTTACAATCTATATTTTTACCCATTTACGTTAAAAAAATTTAAAAATAATGATTATGATAATTGTCACTTATCTAGGGTACATCTTCACTGAAGTTTTATTTAAACATACTAGCAATACTTATTTTAACGCATTTTGGTCAAAAAAATTCAAAAAACTTTAAAAATAACGATTATATTGTCACTTTTCAATGGTAGATCTTCATGGAATTTTAATTTAGCATGTTTACAATCTATATTTTTTACATATTTGCAACAAAAAATTTTAAAAAACTTTATAAACAAAGATTATGACAATTGTCAATTTTCAATGGTAGATCTTCATGAAATTTTAATTAAGCATGTAAATGATATTTTTACCCTTTTGAGTCAAAAAATCTTAAAAATAACGAATATGACAATTGTCACATTAAAATATTATCCTTAAAAAGATCATAAAATAACATAAATAAGTTAAATATAAATATTTAAAAAAAAATTATTTAGAAAACCCACCTCTTTTAATATACTTAAGAAATAGATAATTTTCTGAAAATGATAAAAAACTGTAAAAGATTTCACCTAAAAATTGTATATTTATTTATAATAAATTTCACTAAAGAATTCCTCAAAAAAGATATATTTACAAAGAAGATTTAAAATTTTTATCATAATATGTTTAAAAATCTTTTTGAACTTCAAGAATATTTTTTACTTAAAATCTTGGGCGTGAAAATCACTAATAAATTGTAACAAAAATAATATTACAATAGTATCATATCATTTTTTATTAAAAAACAAATAATAAATAATATGTTGTTTTCTTTTAAATAAATGCATTCGCAATATATTTATTGTTTCGCGACAATGACTTCGCGATAAAAAATTCGCTGTAAAGTGTTCGCGTAAAATGTTTTGCTAAAATGTATTCGCTCTAATAAATTCGCGGTTAAGGTTTCGCGAAATTGTCTTCGCTATAAATGTTTCACGGAGATAAACTCGCAGAATTGATTTCGCGATTTTACCTTCGCTATAAAAACTTTTCGCGATAAAAGTTTCACTGAATTGACCTGATATGGACAAATACAAATATCTTTCTTTATTTTTTTATTATTGTGGTTTTAAGTTAATTGATCATGGAAGATACTTTAAAGAACCTACCTAATAATATGGTTATATGATATGTAAAAGATTTGGAGACTCTTCCAGACAATCTATAAAAACACCATTCTTAATAAGAAATACTTTGTGGAACTGATATCCATAGATTCTATATAATAACTTAAAAAAATATACATTTTTCAGTATTAACGTCGCTAATTTTGATAAAATAGGATAAAACAGATAGATCGATTTTTTTCCTTTAATCGGATCACAAAATAAATATATTGTGGATTTCACTTTATAATTCAAATTACAATTAGAAATTATGTCTTTTTTTAGAAATCGTAATAAATGAAAAATATTTTTTATTTTTAAAGGTATTTCAATTTGATATTTAAAATACGTATTCACGATAGGCCCAATCCTGCCTATGTGTCATAAAATGCAGTAAAGGGTTAAATATAAAAATATTCATTTTTTTTTAAATTATGTTCTATTGCTGCAATATATTTGCATACCACTATTTAGAAAGATTATACATTAAAAGGTAAAGAAAGAAGGCAAGTTTGTGATTTCACTGGGCAAAAAAAATACTAGCACCTTAAGATATGATCATATACTTTTAAACATTTATGGAAAGTTATAAACTTTATATCAGAGATATAAATATTATCAAAAATTGTTTTGCTGTTAAATTTTTAAAAAAAATGGTGGCATAAATATACATCAAATTTTAAGGTAGTTATTAATGGGAGGGGGGGGGGGGTTATAGGACTCACTGAAATATAAGCAAAAATTATTCTAAAATACAAGAATTTTTATATAAAAATATAATATAAAGAACATTATCTATTATTTTATTAAAATAAATTAGTTTATAAAACAAATAAAACATTTACTATTAGGTTTTTGCACTTGGATAATTGATGGAGATCTCTCAAACATAAATCCATCATTGTAAGAAGATTCAATTAAATTATTAGTGCCATTATTTGATTGATATTTTATTTCATGAGATAGATTACGATAAAAGTTCGCCGTTTTATTGCTAATTCCAAAATCCCAGTCATCTCAATTTAAAAATTTTTTAGAATATATATTCATAAAAAACATTTCTAATTCCTAATAAATCGCATATTAAATGAGCATCTTCAAATCAAATGTTAAGTAACATAAAAAATTTGGTTCCACGTAAATTAGGCCCGTATCTAATATAGTTGCAATATTCATTAAATAGAAATCATGTTGAGAGTTGGTTTAATTAATTAATTTTGCATTTTTTTTAACAAATATCTCAATTTTATATACTAATTGCATAATGTCAATAAGAAATGTAACATTATCAAAAAAAATTATACCCTGATTTCTTTGGTGGACCAATTTACCATGTTATAAGGTATAATGATCCAAAAATATTCAAATTATTTTTAGAATTATTGATAAGGGGTCAAAAAAGAAAATAGTGATGATGCTATCAATATAAAGCATTTTTCTCTATTAATAAACAATATCTCATTAATTTAATATGGTTATACCAAAAATTCAATGGGTAAATTCTACAGGCCAGGACTAAAGACCGTACCAGGAAGTATATTATTATTAAATACCCGGACCCGGCCAAAAAATATTTTATTGCAACTATGTTAGATACGCACCGAATCGAAGTGATACTAAAAATATTATCTATGTAATTTAGAAGGGCAAATAAATTTTCTATAAAAAATTGTGAAACACTCAAAAGTTTATTAATTGATTTGTTGTATATTATTTATGCTTACAAAATAAAAGAATTGTATTGCACATATAAAACTATATATAAGATATAAATCTTATCCTCTAATTGGCTTGTTAATTTGATTAGTCTAAAATAGGCCCAGTCCGAGGCCAATTAATGTTATATTTTCTTATATAAATAGAATAAAATAAATAAAGTTTATTAAATTTTCAACGTTATTGATGAATATTTAAATTCAATGGCTTAACTGTAGGAGGAGTGTCTGGGTTTTTTTATAAAAAATACTTTATTGTAATAAATAAAAAAATATTTATTAATTAAGATGCAATCTAATATCGCAAGGATTTAACAAAAAAATATATAAATTCATTTAATATATTACACTATTAATAATGTGAGTTTATTGCGGTAAATTCCGAAGAAAAAGTATTTAAATATCGCAAGAAATATATATTGCAATCTCGTTATATATATATATTTAATAGGGCCAGGCATTGCGTAGAATTTCTTTTTAATTAATCTTTTCAATGTGGAATATCTCATTTGTACATGAGGTGATAGGTAGGGTATCATAATTAACAAATTTTTAACATGTACACTTATAGGATGCTCAAAGTTTTTCAACGCCTTAATTGAATTTTGAGAACTACATTTATTATATTTATAAGAATTATGAGCGTATATAAATAATATTAAGAGTGGCTAAAAGAGTTAACTAAATAAATCATTTTTAAAAAAAAGTGTGGGATAGGTTATCTAGAGGAGAAGTGGAGCTCAGGAAATTAGATTGATAGATTTCTAAAGAGATTCTATGTCGTAAGTAAAACCCCTCGTTTAAATCTCTGATGCCAAGTTATTTTTTCCAAGGCTTTTAATTGGAAGATCTAGTATCAGATTCCCAAGGTGTTAGTAACTGTAGGTAAAAAAATTACATTTTGAAAGTCGGATTATATGTTTTTTAAGGTTTGGGAGTGAGCCATGGCAAAGTTTAAATTATTTGATTTAGCTCAGAAATCAAAAGAAGTTTAGTCCCTAGGTGAATGACCAAGGTATTAAGGTATACCATTTTGTCTTAAACTATAGTTAAAACAACTGGTTCAAGGATGTATGTATTTTATCCTTTGTGAAATCTTGTAATAAAATAGGAGGGTTGGAACCCACGAGAATAATTGCAATGTAGTGGGTGCTGGTCTCCATAATCAATTGATTGTGTTACTCAGTTATAACTTAATTATTTTTTCTCTCTGGATTCTGGTAATAAAGTTTTAATTATTTAAGATGGCAACAAATTTTGTGTTAGGAACGACCGAGGTAAAATGATGACAAAGTAACAAGGTTAACGCGAATAACTTCTTAACCCTTTGGCATAAAGTCATTAAATTTGGTGAGAAAATGTATTTTTATTTGTGATGTAAACGTTACTTCAAAAAAGTAACATGTACTCGTTATTTCTGGAAAAAGGAACGCGCGTTACTGGCTATTCAAAAAAGTAAAGGGTTACTTGTTACTTAAAAATTAAACATTATATACAAATTTTTTTTTATAAAATCCAAAAAAATATATATAATATCTTTCTATAATATTATAGATATATATAATTATAAATAAAATAATACAAAAATAATATATTATAAGATAATATATTTTTGTAAAAATTTTTTATTTACTTTTTTTAAAATTTTGATCAGATAAACATGAGAGCTAGTGATAAACACAACTTTCGATTTGTTGCTTTGTTAAACACACGTTCAACTGGCGCAAAGGATGGGAGGGTTGTATTATATTGGATGAAACATAAATTTTAATTGGGGGAATTTATTAATTAAAGAATATTCTTTATTTAGAAAAAAGTTTAATTCATCGTTAAAGGAATCTTCAATAGTTCCTCAACCAATTTTTTAAAATCTTTAAAAATAATCTGTATGTGTGTTGCTTTTTAAGAATCAAGGTTTCCTTTTCTTTGTCAAGATCTTTTCTCAAACAGGAAATAAGCTTTCTTCCTCCGTTTAAATCTAGTTTTACGAGGGCCAATCTGATTTAAATAGCGGGTGAATTATTGCTGATATTCAATAGAAATAAAATATTATCAAAATATAAATTGTGAACAATACTTCAACTGCATACCTTTTATCTTTGTCTTGCAGAATTGCATTAATAAGTGGCTTACAAAATGTTTTTATAATATAATTGTTATCGTGTGAGTGAGATTACCAAATGCATTTTTCCTTCTCTCTCTAAAATCGAAAGAGCTGTAGGAACATAGCCATATAATATTCTTCTATGAGAGACTTGTCATTAACGGAAAAACCTCTATAATTTTGATTTATCACAAAATTCGTTAATAAGACTAAAGTTATAGAAAGAGTTCCATTCAAAATTCCTAAAGTATTATAGGAAGAGAGCTACACTTTTTTTTATTTTGTAGATGAGGGATTTGACTACATGTAAATATATAATTTGTTTTGTTTATTTCAAAATATTATGAAAAAAATTAAAAATATCAATCGTTTTACTCCGGTCAAAGAATTTTTTTAAATAATATTCATAAGTCCTAGGTTTTTAAAGAGTCAATTTCAATTTATCAGCTGTTTTTGGAAGAATCAAATAAATTTTGAAATATTTTGGTTGTATATCTAACCTATTAAAATAATTCAAGTTAAAAAATATTCAGATTTAATGTTTGAAGATAGCGGACAATAAGAAATCCCAAACAAATTAAAGCGTATAAGTTTTAAAAAAATTAAATGAAAAAAAAATGTGTATCATTATTATAAAATGTCTTTTGATCAATTATTAATTAACCCCTATATTTAAAAACATTAAATATGCATCAATAAAATTTTTGTGGATTAGAAGGTGTCCTGACCTGAACATAATCACACCCCATAATTAAGCCACTGTTAAATTTAACGCACATCCTTAAAATAGAGAATAAAATAAATATATGGAGTTTGAAATATCTTCCCTGCAAGCTTTTTTTAAATTAAGGCCCCAGGTCGCAATTAACATTTATTTTTAAAAAAAATTGCCATCCGACTGAGGGGCTCAGACTAAAAAATTTAGATTTTGCAAGTCTCCAAATTTGAATCCCGTGTAAACCGAGCAACTCGCTTATTTCAGAAAAATTTGGTGGTCCTGAACCTTTTTGATAATGATCAATATGTTCACTTAAGGCTATATTTGATTGAAGAGGTATATACCATACGAAATATAAAATAAAATTGATGCCAATTAATTAAAATTTTCGTCTATGTATAGATTTGTTACTGTGCGCAATGATCCAACCATGTTAAATCACCCACATCTCAACCCACCTTTTTCAATTCCGATAAAAATAGATTATACATGTTATAGATAAACAAAATTTTAACTCACTAGCTTTTTATATTATCTGAGATAAAAAATAAGTAATTTTACCTATTAATTAGTTAGATATTTATAACTAAGTCGGTGATTGAGGAAAAAATTGGGTTCATAATTTTCTTTTAATTTTAAATTGCAAGCTGTTTTTTTCGAGTTTTGAATTTTTTTATCACTACAACAATATTAATATTTTGTTGCAAATATATTTTCAGAATTATTTAAATAAAATTTCAAAATAAAATAAATTTGACAATATAAATAAAGCTGTAAACGTTACTTCAAAAAAGAAACGTGTTACTCGTTACGTCAAAAAAAGGAACGCGTTCGCGCAATACTGGCTATTCAGAAAATAACGCGTTACTTGAAAAATTAATTATATACAAATATTCCCTATATTTAATATAAATAAAATTTATAAAAATAATATATTATAAGATGAGATCTTTTTATACATAATTTTTCCTTTAATATATTATAAGATATTTTTACAATAATTTTTTTTTATTTTCAACAATTGATTTTTAAAATTTCGAACAGATAAACAAGAGAGTGAGTATTAAACACAAGTTCAACTAGGGTAGAGGATGGGAGGGATTTATAATCAATAAATAAAAATTTTAATTGGTGGGATTTATTAAAAATTAAAGAATAATCCTTATTTTGAAAAAAGCTTAATAGATAATTTTCAAAAGAATCCGAATTCAGATCCTCATCAAAATATTTTTTATATTTATCTGAAAATAATCTGATGTGTGTTGTTTTTTTACTTTATCTTTGTCAAGATATTTTCTTAAGCTGGAAAATAAGTTCAAGCTCCATGGCTAATCTAATTTAAGTAGCGTGTGAATTATTGCTGATAATATTTTTAGTGTTGTTAAAGTAACTAGTTACATTTTTGCTAAAAAATAAATGTGACTAGTTATATTTTTTGAAATGGAACTGCCAAAAGTAACTAGTTACTTCTAAAAATAT